CAAATTATTGGACATCGAAAAACAAGGCACATTTTAGAATCTTACACAAAATCTTACATCGGAAAAAGTCATCATCCCATGCTCCCTGTTAGCAAGATCCTATACTCCCTGTTAGAAAGCAATCAAATAAGCAACAAAGAAAACCGCCACAAAACTAGATTAGATGGAAGCCTTTCCAAATAAATTGCACCCAAGGGAATTCAACACAAAAACAACATAAATGGTATTCCTGGTAGATAAATCGTCTGCAAAACAAACAGCACATAAACACGCCTTTTTTTGCAAATGTTAAGTACCTTTTCCTGATGTTACACAATAGGATAGTTGCATCAGCGTGCTAAATTTGCAAAACAAAATCAAAGTACCTTTTCCTAGTGTTACATTGCAGTACGTCAGTTACATGACCCAATGACGACTTTAGCCCCTGTAAAGATTACACTAACATTATTGTGAAGTTAGTCGATGTGTTTTTGCAGACATCATGGTTTCTTCGCTGTACACTCTTCTCAGTGGCGTTTGTTTTCAAAATACCTTTACATGCCAAATACTTCATACATACATGGCCGCCAAAACACAATAACCTGCAGTATGCCATGCCAGAAATACTGTTGGTTTGCAAAGCTAAAGTTTGCACTTTCTGGAGACCTCAATATTCAATTTTTGTAAAGTTTCTCAACATTTCAAAGTGAACATGGCTTCTGATGAGGGAAGCGGAGACCTTGATCTTTCTAAGGCGTCCACTTTGCCGACAGAGCTGCGATCGGACATGGAGTGAGTGCCTTCGATGCATTTTGTTCATGTATTCACAGTATTGTCACAAGCTGTAGAAGTGAGCTGTGACCATAAGATGACAAAAGAGGAAAGACACAATTGAAAGCCTTTGTACCTATGGCATTTATGTGGTACAATGTCCTTGTAATTGAAAGAAAAGAGCCGATGTGGTATGTTTAGTAATGGAGCGTAAAAATGGCCGACGACAAGTATTAAAACTCACTACGACTCAAATTTTGTCAAATTAACGTAACCATTCATGAGTCTACTGGCACAGCCTTTCTTTGATTCAAGACTCTGGGCTCGCCTTCCTTTTGCTGATTGAAAAAAAAGAAAGACCAGTCGACTGACAAAACAGTACCTCTTGAAAGAATTCAAACTTCCTAAGATAAATATTTGCACGCGGTCAACCATTACCTACCCTAGGCGACAGGTGTTTGGGTCACATGACCTTTGACGCCCCAACTTAGCAACACAAGATGGCGGACGGTCTGTAGGAAGTTAGCAGTGTTGTCAATAGAGGTGATGTTAGATCGTCATTTTTGACCTGAGATGCGAAGCTGACTGGTACAAGGATGCCTGGGAAGAAGAAGAAGGGCGGAAAGAAGAGCGGGAAGAAGAAGAAGTAACGAATTGTCTTTTTATTCGTCGTACATTGCCAGTTTTCATCACTTGTTGATAGTGTTCGGATCATCGCAATTTTGCACCAGGCTTCTGAGGCCTTGTAACTGATATCTGTAAAGTACCGTAAATTTACCGAAGCATGTAATGTTAGGTGTAGAAACAATAGCAATATCTTTTGTTTTTCTACATCCCAGGACATATGTAGTCAGTGCAGTAGTACTAAGACATTGCCGTGTAAAATCACACAAGTAACTCCCGTCAAAACAACTAACGTTAATCGTTAAGGCCTAGGAAAAAAGATGTTGTGTTTCCTGTTTAGGTCCAGAAAAAAATTAGGATCGGTAGGTTGGGATTAATATCTTTTTTTTCTGTCTTTTTTTGTAGACTTTGGCAATCTCTGGTGATCCAACTTACATAATACAGGAATTAACAAAGTAAAACTTGCATGAAGACACATATTTTAAATGTGAATGTTGGAAAACAGATTGTACATTCGCCGTGGCTATATACACTCCCGGTGTGTATATAAAAGACAAATAGATTTTATATACACTCCGAAATACTAGCCTCCTTGGTAGGCCCAAAACTTGGGTTTTTGTGAGTGTTTGAGGATTCAGGGGCACCAAGTTTAAACCTCGGTCTTCAAGTTTATCTTATTGGATGATGAAAATCAGAAAACAACACGGAAATCTCCACCGAAGTTCGGTC